CCTTGAAACTCTTTGTATCTCCGTCCCCTATAAAGACACTGTACCGAAGCTTCCTCGTTTCTCTGGATCTCCTCCATATCTTCAGGGCAGCTTCACATTCCATTGCGGGTGCTGAGCTCTGGGTGTTGGCACGGCATTCATGGTTGTCCAGCTTGTCCTGCAGTTCAGCATTTGTCAACTCTTTCTTTGCATGCTGGTTCTTGAAGTGGGCGCACTGGTGGCAGAATCGGGATAGAACTTCAACGTCAAGGACTTTGCCTGTGCCCCATGCCATGGCCACAAAAACACCATACAGCGATGCATAGCCTCGGCGCATCCAGGTTCCGTCATACGTAACGGCAGTGTCGGCAATAACGACATCTCCAGGTGCATTGTCCAAGACTTGTGTCGCTGCCGCACTCATGCTATGCTCAGCAACAACCTTGGCCGATTTGTGTAGAGCCTTGGCATGTCCTTGGTATGCGGAGAAGGTCATGGGCACAGGCATATTCAAAGCAGCTCCCAACTTCAGCATTGCTCCGTGCCCGCGACCGATCCAGCGCATGCCAAACACAGCTCGTCAGTTTACATCCCAAACACGCTTATGTTTGTCTGACATATACTGCGATGTGTGAGCTTCACAGGTTTGACAGGTCAGCTCCAGGCAGGATGCAAACCCTTGCCTCTTCGGCTCACTCAGAGTGACTGGTCCATGACAAATTTTGCAACACACAGAAGCCAACAAAAGAGTTTGAAGGCACACCAAGTCGACGAGCCTGAATCCATAGGGTAGTTCTGCATCATTCTCATCGTCCGAGTCTGAACTGGATCCTGAACTCGAATCGCTTGTGCTCAGGTCATCCTCGGAAGAAATCTCAGCATCATCAGAACTAGAAGGCAAATAATCGTTGAAATTTGGCAGAGAATCGTCAAGATTTTCTGCCAAACATGCTGCAGCTACATCTTCCGATTCGGCTCTCAGCGGTTGATTTCCATGAAATTTTCTCTTTCTGGGTCTGCCTGGTCGGCCTTGAGCTCGCTTCTTCCCCCATCGCAATAGAAAAACAACGCCTGCAAGCTTGTACAATTGTCACAGCGTACAGAACGAAACAACAAAGACGTTTCCATCAAATAATTTATTTGAATCAAATTTGAATTTGCGCATGCGCAATCACTCTGACGGCTGTCATGGTAACCAAACCCATGCGCAGAGGTAGCCAAATCTCTCCGCGCACTGCTCCTGAGATTTCCACAAAATTTGAACTATACCAAGGAAGGTTTTATCATAACACGATTGATTGCGTTCTAAAACGAAAAGAACCAATTGCAAAATCCAAATTGTGAAATTTGCAGATCTATCTCGATCTTTGAAATGCTCTATCTCTGAAGTCCTTTGAGCGAATCCCCTCAAATCTTCAGGAGTCGTGCTTCAGCACAAGAGCTATCGTTTGAGATAGTTTTCGACGCTTCGTGAGAGATTTTCATTTTTGACCTTCTGAAGGCATAGTACAGAACCGACTATCCGAGAGCTTCGATGCGGTTAATTATAATATCACATCTCAAGGAACTGAGCCTCCTACTGAACCCCGACAAAACGCAAATATCCATCGCACACCGGAAGACAACCCAGTTCCTTCACTGTCCTCTGTGTTAAGGCGGGCAGACTGGTCGTAAAATCCCTGAAAGTCGAATTTGTAAATTCATGTCGAGTGCTGCATCAGTTGAAAGAACATGAATAGATGCAAAATCTCTGAAAATTTTGTCTCGATCTGAGCCGTTCAAGAGTTATGGCCAAAAATGTGCCCTTGCAAGGAAATATTTTTTTGTTGCGCGCTGTCCTTTTTTGGCAGCACTGTATTTGAATTTGAGCAAACCGTGCGCAACTTGTCGTACCATAGAAGCACGCGAAAGTGCGCAGAATTTTGCTCCAAGTCCAAAAAATCACGTTTTTTAGCCACGTGTTGGGCTGCACCAGCTACTGGTAACGGGAGCAAGCGGGAGCAAGCGGGGGTCTGTCCGCAAGCATAGCCATCGACGGGAAGCAGCTCGAGCAGGTTTACGACTTTAAATATCTGGGTAGCACGATTACTGATGATCAGCGTTCAATCAAAGAAGTGAGGAGTTGGATCGCAGCAGCCTCGGCTGCTGTTGCACGACTACTAACAATCTGGAGGGATAGAAACATCAGTATCGGCTTGAAATTACGTCTACTCAATGCTATTGTTTTATCCATATTCCTTTATGCTTGCCAGTCTTGGATCTTAACTGCTGAAATTGTGAGAAAGATCGAGGCTTTCGAAATGAGAAGCTATCGACGTCTTCTCAGGATTCCGTTCGCTGATTACCGGACGAATGTGTCTGTTAGAGAGGAACAAAATAGTATTCACAAACAAGTCCCACTTATTGTTTCTGTTCGTAGAAGGAAATTGCAATTTTTTGGTCATATTGTTCGTTCTGGCTGTTTGTCATTGACTGTTCTTCAGGGCTGTGTTGCTGAAGGCCGTGGCCGAGGCAGGCCTAGAATGTCATGGCTTGATAATGTTATTTCATGGACTGCACTTGACGTTCAGTCCTTGCTAGCTGCCACACGCGCTAGATTTTTATGGCGCTCGCTTGTTCATACTTGCTCTGTGACGCCCCGACGGCCTTAGGGCTATGGGCTTATGATGATGATGATTGGGCTGCACGGCGGAGGGCTTCGCCCGCCGCCGTGCAGCAGGACTTTTGCCGGCACCCTCGTGACGTTGTGGATATGTGGCTTGATTATTGTAGTTGACGTTGATTTAGTGACTTTGGCAAGTTTGAGTCGTGTCAAAAAGTCAGGTAGGAGTCAGTACTAGGCAGTAGTGGAACGTAAGTGGTAGGCTTTACCGATTTTGGAGGGTGTCCTGGATTTGGTGTGCAGTGCTGTGGAAATGGCTTCCTGTGGAGGTCCCAGCACTGGATGTTGTATCAAAGGTACGACCTCGTAGCACACCCTAAACCTTAAAAAAAATTCAAAAATTGACTTGGGTCTGTGGGAGTCTGTGAGAGAACGCCCTCTGGTGGGGTTGTGACAGAGTCCAGGGCCACGTTGAGGGGCCCTATCCCAACACCCATGGCTGCCTCTGGACTTTTTTTGGTTTGGATCCCGCGCACGGACAGAATGGGCAAGAAAATGTGCAAAAATTGTAAATGCATTTTTTGGGCTCCTGGTTGGCTCGCACACCGTGGAACTATCCGGCCTGAAAAGCAAAGAGCACCTCGCCTTCAACGAGCTGGTCGGGAAATTTGTTGCTGACGTCAACCGTAGGCTGGCCGCATTCCGCAGAACACTACATCACATCACTACCCAGGCACAACGTTCCCTTAACCTAAGCATTATCCAATCCACCATGGAGTACGCTAGCAACTGCTACGTTCACACGATATCAGCAACCCTACACAACACACTCATTCGATGCTTCAAGCGTAGCCTCAGGATGACATTTGGCTACTCACCATGCCACCCGAAAGCCACATTTGTCACCGCCACAAAATCAATGCTGTCGCCAGCCGTTATAACCTAAAACTAGTTTGCCTTGTCTATAAATGTTTGTATGGCCGCCGTAGCCCTCTACTCTTCGAACTGTTTGTACTTACATCATAATTATAGCAACCATACGAATACCTTGACAAGGGGACAGTCCACCCTCGCTTTAGCCCTGCCTAATACTTCGTCACGATATGGTTTCTACACTTTGCCATACCTGGCTGCTGACAGGTGGAATTCGTTTCCAGCAGCATGCCTCCTGGTAGCCTTGCACTCTGTGGTGTTTTCTGTCGTTCACAGTCAGATGTGAACGGGCAGCACACGCTGTGATCTCCTTGCCAGGGAGTCGTAAAATACCTGTAATTTACCACTTCCCCGCTTCTTACGTATATCGTGTCCGCTTGCACAAAGCTGTTTTGGCATTGACTTTCCAAAATGTTAAACCCACAAAACAGAGCCTGCAACAAGTGCACAAGAACATTAGGTTGTTCTAATACGGTGAAACCTGTGTGAGACGACGGCTAAAGGGACTTTCAAAATGTGGTCGCCATCTCATTAATTTCTGTTTCCTTACATCACACCATGATACATGCTTATCTATATTTTTAAAGCTCTACTTATTTTTGTATTTGGTGCTTGATCCTGCTGCTGATTCCGAGACCCATGGTCGGGGGAGGTAGGCCCAATTCACCAGCACACTGCTCCGGCTTCCGCTGTATTGTCATGTCTTCTCTCTAGTTCTGTCTTACCATTCCGTTCTCTGCTGGACTGTGTATATCAGAATAAAAATTAATTAACAATAAAAATGTTGTCTCTGTCACCCTGATGTTTCCTTATTAAGGGTCATTTGACTGGAAGTAGCAGCCCTTGGTCATGGTATCAGTGGTCGTCCAGGACAGATGATCGCAGTATCCGAGTTGTCGTCTTAGACAAGCTTCACTGTTGGTTGTGTTAACACAATTCAACGGCAGGCACTTGTGGCTAGAATGGGGTGATAAGGCGTTGCTAAATGATTCCTTGATAGCACCATGCGATTCATCAGCTGAACATTACTCAGGACAGATATGTGGTAGGCCGTTAAACAGATCCATTTCCTCATCATGACTCGCAGGTGACCGGGTTGGTGGAGAAAATGAGTTATTGTCGAAATTCCCTAGACGCGAGTACAGAGGTCTAGGCCAGAACTCTCTCGAATGTACTAGTTCTGTACTATTGGCATCCACAACAAGACGTGCCGAGATTGACCTGTCCTTTTTGAACATTTTGCATTCCTATCGATGCCTGGTTGTAGACTATCGTTCTCATACCACCAGTTGGATGATCCTTGCCAACCACATCAGCACATTGCCCCTACTCCCCTTTGTCTTGTTGTCCACTGTCACTTCAGTTGTTCTATTTCCCTGATTATTAGTTGCGGCTGCGTTTGCAAATAAAAAAAAACAAAAACAAAAAACAGGGCCCCAGGAGGAGAGCATTTTTGGAGGTGACGGCCTCTTTTACGGGCAAGACAAGTCATGTAGATGAGAAAATATAGATATACCGTGAATATTCATATTCCAGTTCATAAACATTTCAACACTCCAAAAGGTTCCACTTGAAACTGGCGAAATGCGCAGACATGAGTGATGGGTACTAGCCTGGGAAAACGGGAGGCAGGCATGTTTGAAATTGTGGTATTGGGTTATATCATAAAAGTCGGATGACAGGGTGATTCATGAAATCAACCTTTGCGTGGTCAGAGTCGTATCGGATTTGCGAGTTGCTTCGTCAACAAGATTATTGCCAATCATTTCCATGGCGTTTACCAATTCCATTTTGGTAAATTCGTTTCTAGAGTGCAAAGCTGATGTTGATGAGAGGAGGAATGTTCCCAACTCATGATGTATAACTTGAAGATTGGGGCGAGTGGCCTCCGGCAAATCTTTCCAGATGTTGTTGTACTCAGTGACAGCATTGAAGTAATCGTTCGTCTGCGATGTCCGAAGCTTTCCTGTGATCAGCAGCCTGATAACAGAATAATCTCCCGAAAGTTGAGCAATGGCGTCAATAAAAATCCTGGTCCATAGCATACCGGCAGCTGGTGCAGCAGACCCGAGTTCATACACAGGTTTCCAATGGAGGTCGTACAGGGCATGCTGATGGGCCCACGTGAACGTTTGAACTGGACGGCCAGGTAAGTTGCTCATATCCTGTTGAAACCGTGAGAACATGGTTGGGTCTCTGGCTATAATGCAGTGAAAGCAGTGTGCAAGCTCTATAAGTCTCCGTGAGCGGTACGCCAGTGGCAAGTAAGGGACCAGCTTTGGAACATCCTGCTCCAGCTTATTCAAAAGATCTTGCTGGTACTCTTCATGGGAGTCGAAACGTTCGTGTAGGGTTTTCGTCACTTTGTTTAGTGTTCCACCAAATACAGGCGTCAATTGGGCGCTAACATCTTCTATGGTCAGCTTCTGATCTTGGACAAGTAACCTCTGTGTGGCAAGACGCGGCGTGTCCAGGAGAGTCCGAGCTAAGCTCAATTGTTGGGCAGGCAATCGAGATCTCCGCTGGAGGATATTCCTTTGGGACGCATATGTTAGAAGATCTTGTTCGGATAAATCACTGGTAGCAAGCCTGTAGTTGTCCCAAATCAGGTTTGAATCCATGCTAACTACGCAAATGGAGATGTACATATTTTTCGCAGCACTGATGTAGGACGTGTTCAAAGAAGGACTTAGCTGATAGCGTTGCTGCATGCATGGACAAACGAACAAGACAACGGAAAATCACTTTGAAAGGTATACGATTACCTTGTGCGTTTTGCAGACCTGCATCAGAACAGTAGAGTTACTTTCCCTTCTCTAGTCATAAGATATAATTATTCAATATTTTAAATGTAGTTCGCATACACTTGTAAGGGAAGTACCTTCAAGAAATATGCTTTTGCCTGTTACAAGAGAAAGGAGACGCAAGAGAAGAACTTAGAATTGGCGAGCACAGACGAGTTCATTTTGAAGTCGTTGGGGCAATGAGGAATGTGTATCGGCTATATAGTGACGGGGTGAAAGGATAAACCGACCAAAGTGGTATGAAAAGCAAAACATATATTGGTCATCAGGTGCTTAAGAATAGTTTCGAATGGGGAGCCAAGCTGATAAACCGTCCATATCTATATGTCGAAACAATCGTCGGGTGAAAACTTCTTCTTTACATGGTTAGAATCTTTACTACCATTGTATTCGACCTGCAGAGTAATGGAATGAAAGGCCTGGTGGAAAAAATTAAATGGCTTGTGTGCTTCGTGTGCTGAGATGAAATATGAATTTTTTCTTCCAGTGAATCCCAGGAGAATAGCCTTTTCTATCTAAGTAACTAGTTGTTCTTTTGGACAACATTTGAAAACGTTTTATAATAGATCCGTGGAAAACTAACACGGACCTTTCATAAAACAATTCCAAATTTCATCTCAAACTTAGCTGGGACACCCAAAAGTTGTCAAATTGTTGTCAAAATTACCCCTAAAAGGTTGTACCGCCCCAGTCACCTTAAATCAGTGCTATTGAAGCAAATATTTAGTGCTAATTCTCATCATGAGATTACTGTTTTTATGGGCCAGAGATTTTGCTCCAACGAGTGAGGACCTTATCATGTAAATGCATACACTCATGTGGTATCGCTGTAGTCCATCGAATTAATTGTACTAGTATATACACAAAGTGATAAAATCGGTACGCCTTAGAAGATACTGATTCAAATAAATGAAACCAAGCTTTTCCAAACACACAAACGCATGAACTCTGTACATTACTACTCACCTGACAGAGACGTCTAAATATGCACTCCTTCAGCAACAGATCTCGGATGTGCCTGTTGACAGCACAGAGCTGAAAGATGTCGCGAATTGACAGCAAAGGTAACAGAACTTCAATCCACACATCCTCTAGAACACAATCCAGTTCGTTCTCAACTGGTTCCGTCGCCATGTTCTCTTTCAGATAAAAAATGTCTTGGAGGAAGAAAACTGAACTCAGCTACAGATCTGCAGAGTAAACTGGCTGTTTGTACGTTTTGAGAGCTCTGACTTATACCTTACTTCAAGTAGTAGTAGCGGTAGGCACCTACTCGATGTTGGAGTTGTAGCTGTGGGACGTGTAAATTCTACGCCGGGTACTTTGATGTATGTACAATTCATAGTGTTGTCGACATGGGTCCCTGTTCAGTTCCACATGTACGTCATCCCGTTGTTACACTGAGAAGGCCTACTTGTCCGAAACAGTATGCAGCATACAGCAATGTGCCGGTACTGTACACGTCCGCGTGCATTATGATTGTGATGTAATACACATACTTGTACTGATAAACGTGTGGCAGGTGTGTGGACTACTACGTGTGTAAGTGGAGGGAGCAGGGAGTGGTGCTTTCTTTCAGGTTTGCTGAGCGGAAGGTGTGACGTGCTCCTCATGTGCTCCGGATGGCAGTCGTGAGTCAGTCAAGTGTCAAGTTCGGCAAGAAGCATGTGCTCCTCGTTGGAGCAACAAACTTCTTGAATGTTTTACAACGTTTCTACAAAATTGCCCTCATCAGGTATGCAATGGTGTGCAGGTCTGCAAAGGAGCAGTTATATACATTGTACATGTACATGCAATTTGTGATGCTATAAAGTATGATATGCTACATCGCATCCACCGTGACGTGCCAAAATCATAAAGATAATTATGGTGTTAATCTGTGGTCCCAATTTCCTTATCTCCACAGCTTCCCTTAACTTCCTGCTTGCCCTGTCACCTTCCCTGGCTAATACTGACACATCCGCGAAAACAGTATCCCCCAGCGCCAGTCTCTTCTGAGCATGCTTGGTGCGCATGTGCTCACCCCAGGGCTTGTCGCGGGTACGGCGGCGCGCTTCTCCATTATGCTCAGTGTACGATACTGGTTTTTGTAGCCCATCAAACCCTTTATTTGCGTGACTTGGTCTAGATCGTTTGGCATCCATGTTTTGCAAGAAATTACTGTATCTGACGTGGCGCTGTTTGGAAGGCCGCTGTAGTGTCACATTAAGTCAAATGTTCGAGCGTTTAAATAATGGTCTTGCAACGCGCAGCCTTGTACCACGCACAGGTACACAGCAGAGTGTGGCACGCGTTTTTCAAGCTCGTAGCTTTTCTTGGTTTGGACATCCCAGTCGGCATCAGGCCGGACAGGAGATAGCTAGGTAGGTAGTAGTAGTAGTAGTAGTATAAATAGTGTAGGATAGTAGGTTAGGTAAGGCCAGGCGGGAACCCCGCCGCCATGGGCGAGCTCTCTGCTGAGGCCGTGACGAAGCTGCTTTGCACCCTCCCGGGGATTGAGCAGGGTATCATTGCAGTGGTGCAAACGCTGGCGACCCTAGCGACCGAGTCTGCTGACCAAGAAGCGCGTATGAAACGCAAAATTGGCGAGCTGGCAGCGGAAGTGAAGGACTTGAAACAGGAATTAGTTTCTCTGAAAAACTCCGCCATTGCCATGATGAAGGCAAAGACGGCGAACAACAGCTCGCCTGCACCTACAGTTCAAGCTGACGTACAGCGTACACACAGTAGTACCAGTAGTACTCGTGCCAGCAAACGTAGCGCCAAGCAAGCTGCAGCTGGACGGGTATGTATGTATGTATGTATATTTTTATTTGAATTCGCAAGTACACACGGGCTACAAGCCCAATTACATGGAAGCGAATGCCATAATGAGGCCAATTAAGAAAAAAAAGGTGGAGGAAGGAGGAGGACGGTAGCAAAGCAACAGGGAGGATAATTCAGGACCAAAATCAACAATTGCACAAATGTGAGAGCACCTGAGACTGAGGGTACCTGTGGAGCGATAAAATGCCAAGCAAACAGAAGAAAGGAAATCACAAGCCAATACGGTACAGTCAGATGCGTACAGACTCAGTAGTACTGATGTCATGCCCAGTAGTAAATCAAGGTGTGACAACATTGAGAGTTCATGTGAGCCCCCCAAGGATAAAGCAAACCCGGTATGTACTACAAACCACAGTCCAAAGGTCGCAGACACACAGACAAATACTGTGGGTTCGCAGCACGTTCCACCACTACCTGTGGATGATGACTCATGGCAACTAGTCTCTTCTATCTCCCCTGGTCTTAGCGTCAGGCGTGGGGTCATTTGGATTGGAAACCTGCGCCCAGCTATTAGCATTGAGCAACTGGAATCCTTTATCCAACAGCGTGCCCTGACAGCCAATCAGCAGCTCACGATATTTAGTAGCAAACTGATCAGCAAGGCTGATGAGTGATGGCAAGGTCGGTGCTCGTGTGACGATCAGCCGAGCCTCAGTTGAAGCCCTCACACAGCCAAACTTCTGGCCCAGGCCTGTTTATGCACGCCCATGGGTCTTTCGTGATGACCAGAGAAACGCAGCAGACAAGCAACAACAGGAGCAACAGCAGAAGACACAGGAAAATCAGCACCAGGAATCTACTCAAGTACACTTGAACAGAGAAACACAGCAGACCAGCAACAGCAGCAGAAGAAACGGCAGGAGGAGCACCAGAAGACACAGGAAAGTCAGCATCAGGAATCGACACCTGAAGAGCACCAGCATTTGCAGACAGAACAGCAGAACCTGCATACTGCATCTAGTGACAGCCAATGCCCTGCATCCAGTGACAGCCAATGCCCTGCGTCTAATGACAGCCAATGCCCTGCGTCCAGTGACAGCCAATGCCCTGCGTCTAATGACAGCCAAAGCCCTGCATCTAGTGATGTCCAGCAGGACAGTGGCCAGCACCAGCCCAAGCTTCAAGATACGTCAACTACGTCTGCTCCAGCCAAAGCCACGCCACCTCGCCCTGGAAAGCGTCATGCAGAAGATTCCCCTGGATCCATGTCGGGAATACCATGCAAAATGCAACCTTCATCTAGCTCTCAATGAGTAAGCTAAATCCAGTTGCGCGGGAGTTCTACCCTCAGGCTGCTACCGTATCTATTAACAGACTGCCACAATCTCATTCAACACATACCACCATTGGATTCCTTAACATCTGCAGCCTGCGCTACAAGATAGACAAGCTGTCCGCTCTGATTAGGGAAAGGACATGGGATGTTGTTGGGATTGCGGAGACATGGCTGGACGCGTCTATAGCTGATGAAGAACTGAACATTGAAGGATACAGTTTGGTGAGAAATGACCGAAAGGGGAGAAAAGGAGGTGGCGTTTGTATTTTTTACCGGTCCTACTTGCCCATCAAACCACGGCCGGATCTCAACCAAGGGGACACGGAGGTAGTGTTGGTTGAGCTAAATGTAAAGGCAGGCAATCACTTAATTGGCTGCATATACCGACCACCAGATGCGCCAGTCTCCTACTGGTCCACCCTTGAGGCATCGCTGCATCAAGCTGCTATGGTTACCTCAGCCGTCACATTGATGGGTGACTTCAATGTCAATATCTCGCATTCCCAGCCACAGCATGCCCAGCCACTTCTGGATCTCTGTGGTGCATATGGCCTCACTAATATCGTCCACTCCGTTACGCGAGTCTCACCTCGGTGTCCAGCTGGCACTACTATTTACCTGATACTGACTACAGAGGATAAGGATTTGCATGATTGCCGAGTCCTGCCGCTTACACTCAGTGACCACTTTGGAGTTGAAGCAACCTTCAATGCAAGACATGCCCGGCCAGACATCCCCAAGCAGCGTGTGCGTCGCCGTTTAGATAACATTGACTTGGTTGCCTTCCGACTTGACCTAGCTGCTGCTGAACTTCCTGTGTACCCACCAGACTCTGATGTGCAAGCCATGTGGGACCACTGGCATCAACGATTCCTTTCTGTCCTCGACAGGCATGCGCCATTGCAGCAATGCAAGATTAAGACAGGCAAGCTCCATCCTCCATGGTCTGACAGAGAGCTATACAAGATAAACCAGCTGAAGCGTCGCCTGCATCGAAAGTGGCTTGCTGACAAAGCCAACTCTGAAGCTCACGCAGCATATAGACGTGCCCGCTCGGTTGCTGCGAATACAAACAGGTGCAAACGCAACCAGTACTTCCAAAGTCAGTGCCAAGATAATTGCCAGAACCCACGCAAATTATGGTCAGTCCTAAATACTGTGACTGGACGCAAGAGACAATCAATGCAGCCGACATGCGACATCGAACATGTTGCGTCCACGTTTGGCAAGGTAGTCTCTGATGATGCTCGACCTTCAGTGCTCTCTATGCCTCAGGGTCCACAGCCTCGGTCTGCCCTGACCTCATTCCAACATGTGCGTGTCTGCGATGCTGAACAGCTTTTGAAGCGCATCGACCCGCGCAAAGCAACTGGGAGCGACGGCATCCCAGGCTTACTTCTAAAGTACTGTGCCGACCTGCTAGCACCATCAGTTGCAGCACTTTTCAATGCGTCCCTGACCTCTGGCACTGTACCCGCTGGCTTTAAGCGTGCGTATGTGACCCCATTGCACAAGGCTGGCGATCCATCCGTCGCCAACAATTTCCGTCCTGTGTCCCTGCTCCCAATTCTCTCGAAGCTGCTAGAGAAGGTGGTGCAGAAGGCACTTGTCACCTTTCTGGATATAGCTGGTTCTCTGCTCAGCACACAGTTTGCATTCCGGACAGGACATTCCACGGAGGATGCCCTTGTGTTGATGGTCAACAGGATCCTCGCCTCAAGAGACCGCCGCATGTTCACGGGTGTGGTCCTCCTGGATATGTCGAAGGCGTTCGACAAGGTTCGCCACCAGCAACTAGTCGAAGATCTCTTCTGTGTGGGCGTCACTGGAACAGCGCTCCAGTGGCTCATGTCATACTTGTCTGATCGCTGCCAGATTGTCCAGCTGGGATCCCAGCTTAGCACAGTGGCAGCCTGCTCCTGTGGAGTACCACAGGGGTCGGTATTAGGTCCACTGCTTTTCAGCCTTTACACCCGGGACATACCATCTGTTGCCCATCAAGCTGAGTCCATACAGTTCGCAGATGACATCGCACTGACCTGCAGTCGCCCAACACAACAGGAACTGACCGCCACTCTCTCCAGAGCAGTGGCATGCATTGCTGACTGGCTGAAGCAGCGAGGTTTGATCCTTAATGCATCAAAAAGTCAGGCATTGGTAGTACCGGCTGGGAAGCTAGAAGCGCAAACTGAACTGGACGTATGGTGTCATGCGACTAAGCTGCCATCTGTCTCTTCTGCTCGCTACCTCGGAGTTCACATTGACAGCGCCATGTCTTGGAACACCCAGATGGATAGGTGCGTTGCCCGCCTCAACAAGAAAGTCGGTGTGCTGTGGCGGATGCGCCGCTGCCTTAGCATGCAAAGCCGCATCCAGTACTTCAAGTCTGTGATCATGCCTGATTTCTCATATGGCTCCAATGCCTTCTCGGCATCGCTGGCGGGTAAGCACCTGGACCGTCTCCAAGTTCTGCAGAATCGTGCGGCTCGAGCTGTGTACGGATGCTCGCCGCGCACCTCTGCCAGAAACCTGCTAGTCCAACTCGGCGCCTACCGTGTCCGGGAGATCTTCATCCAGAAGCTCATCTTCCTGGTTTGGCGCTGCCGCTACTCCCGTGCTAGCCCCACACTGCAAGTGCTGTTGCTACCAACCAGTGGCGCTCCTACTCGGCTGCAATTATCTATGGGTCTAAGACCACCGCCAACCCGCACTGAGCTGGGTAAGGGTTGTCTTGCGTTCCAAGGAGCTAGGCTCTGGAATGCGTTGCCCAGCGAGGTGCGGGCCATACCGCACCCGGCCCAATTTCGCACTGCTGCTGTTCCACACAGCATGAACCCTTGAAGTCAGACGGATCACTATCGCCATATTTTCATTATATGCCTGCCTGCTGGCCTGCCTGCCCGTCTCTCTCCCTGTTCTCCGACAACTTGCTTGTTAATTCGTGCGGTTGTTTTCAGACGTAAAGCCCTGTTGTAGAGGTCTCAGCCCTCATTTGTTAGTCTCTCTGTCTCTCTCTCTCTCTGTCTCTCTCTGGCTCTCGGATCTCTCTCTCGATCTCTCTCTCTCTCTCTCTCTCTCTCTCTCTCTCTCTCGCTCTCTCTGTTTTTGGTGGACAAAAATATCTCTGGCGTTGATTGCTTTCTTAATTCGACTTCTGCCGCGCCTTTGTTCTCGTACTCCCCTTTATGTACAAGTGTTGTGCAGACCCTCCTTTAATATAGTCTGTCTCATTTTGTCCTGAGATGTTTTGATGCATAGTAATTATGACGCTCATCATTCGCTCCCTTGTCACTGGACAGTTCTGTCCGTTTGGTTTTAGCGAAAACAAATGAAGAAAACAACAACAAACAACAACGCACTCTTAAGAGGGCAGCCTACCCATAAATTTCATATGGCATTCAATTGACCGTACCTTTGGTGTTTCTCAATGGATTTTAGTGAAATTTTGACCACACACTCCTGCCACTATGCTTGCCCTCAGGACATGATTTACAAGTTCTTGCGCCTCACTGACAGGCTTTCCAGGCCGGAAAAACTCAAATTTCCGGCATAGTGCCACGGTGTGCGAGCCACCCAGGAGCCAAACAAATGCATTTACAATTTTTTCACATTTTCGTGCTCATTCTGTTCGTGCGCGGGACTCAAACCTAGAACAAGTCCAGAAGCAGCCATGGGTGATGGGGTAGGGCCCCTCAACGAGGCCCTGGAATCTGTCACAACGGAACGAGTGGGCGTTCTCTCACACACCCCCACAGACCCAAGTCAATGTTTTATTTTTTTAGGTTTAGCACGTGCTACGAGGTCGTACCTTTGATACAACATCCAGTGCTGGGACCTCCACAGCAAGACATTTCCACAGCGCTGCACACCAAATCCAGGATACTCTCAGAAACCGGCAAAGACTACCACTCACGTTTCACTACTGCCTAGTACTGAATCCTACCTGACTTCTTGACACGACTCAAACTTGCCAAAGTCACTAAATCAACGTCAACTACGATAATCAAGCCACATATCTGCAACGTCACGAGGGTGCTGGCAAAAGTCCTGCTGCACGGCCCAATACGTGGCTCAAAAACCTGATTTTTTGGACTTGGAGCGAAATTCTGCACACTTTCACGTGTTTCCATGATACGACAAGTTGCGCACGGTCTGCTCACATTCAAATACGGTGCTGCCAACAAATGACAGCGTGCAACAAAAAAAAATCTTTCCTTGCAAGGGCACATTTTCGGCCATAACTCTTGAACGGCCGGTCAGATCGGGACACAATTTTCAGAGAATTTGCAGCTATTCATGCTCTTTCAACTGACGTAGCACTCAATATGAATTTACAAATTCGATTTTTCAGCGAATATTTGGGTAGTCTGCCACCTTCAGGGGGCAGCCTACCCATAAATTTCATATGGCATTCAATTGACCGTAACTTTGGTGTTTCTCTATGGATTTGAGTGAAATTTTGACCACACACCCCGGCCACTATGCTGGCCCTCAGGACATGATTTACAAGTTCTTGCGCCTCACTGACGGGCTTTCCAGGCCGGAAAAACTCAAATTTCCGGCATAGTGCCACGGTGTGCGAGCCACCCAGGAGCCAAACAAATGCATTTACAATTTTTTCACATTTTCGTGCTCATTCTGGTCGTGCGCGGGACTCAAACCTAGAACAAGTCCAGAAGCAGCCATGGGTGATGGGGTAGGGCCCCTCAACGAGGCCCTGGAATCTGTCACAACGGAACGAGTGGGCGTTCTCTCACACACTCCCACGGACCCAAGTCAATTTTTGAATTTTTTTAGGTTTAGCACGTGCTACGAGGTCGTACCTTTGATACAACATCCAGTGCTGGGACCTCCACACCAAGCCATTTCCACAGCGCTGCACACCAAATCCAGGATACCCTCAGAAACCGGCAAAGACTACCACTCACGTTTCACTACTGCCTAGTACTGAATCCTACCTGACTTCTTGACACGACT